GTTCCAAACATGCAGATGTTGTGTTCTGTTTGGGCAGCCCACTGTTTTCACATCAGTTTAAAGACTATGCATCACCGCTACCTCCCACCAAGCTTGTGCTCATGTTTATGACCCCTTACAGTGCATGGGAAATCAATCTGTCTTCACACCTATCCCATCTCTATCTAAAGCACTTGTTCTTGTGCTCTATGTTGTAAACAGCAGCAGATGAGCTCCTCTGGTTAAAGCGGGTCACTGGAAGTAAACAAGGATCAGGGATTGAAGACAACTCCATGTTCATGAAACTAAATCAAAGCACTGCTGACATCCAAACCACTGCTGTACTGAAACAAGCAGTTGGATCCAGTTTTAGATTGGTTTTTTTTACTTTGTGGAAAACTATAATCTGAACACTGTATCCATGACAACCAAGTACTCACCGATCTGTATTCAACTTCGGTTAATGTCAAATTTATCCTAAGTCTGAAATAAAAAAGTATCTAAGATACTGTGAAATCACAACACTTAGACCCACAGAACTTGATGTGCTGAAACAAAGCTCTCAAAATCCACTTTTCTGTCAACAAATAGAGGAACACAATCCATTTTGGCATAAAAACTGTTTTAGTTTATTGTGTTTCGTTGCGTATTGATTGCCTGACACGCGAGGAAATAGTTCGCAGTAACGCTGTCAGTTGTGCCACACGTATATTAGGGCTTTTTGTGCAGCATCCTGCTGGTCCTCTGTTTTATGCCAGCACTGGGAATACAGAGCACTTAAACATGAATCACGTGCTTTTTTTTTTTTGTTTATTTCACTGATTTGTCTTTAAGTGTTTTGCTACATCGCAATCAACAGGTATTAACATCTCAAAGACGTCAGTGGGCACAGTATAACAGCTGATGTACAGAACAGAACACTTATCTTTCACCACTTGTTCCACTCCTACTATCTTTGTAGATCTTGCAGCTAAGACGCTCCATTAAGAGCTAATCAGTGGGATTGATAAATGCCACTGTGTCCATTTTAGGGATGAAAGTGCTCCCCCCCCTCCCCCCACCTCGTGCACCACTCTGTTTCTAATTTGTGTTACAATTAAAGATAATTATTAAAGATCCATTGATGATGCTTTCCCCATTATGTTGTGGTATTTGTGCATTGCTCATAAATATTTCACTACATAGAGGAGTATTTTCATGATCTCAAAAAGAATTAAACATTATGTCACAGTCTGGAAGGAACCGTTTATTAGAGTCAAAAGCAAACTTATTTTTTTATTAATATTTATACTTTGGGAAGCTAATGTCTTCTTGATATTAACTACCATGATTCTCGGTGCCATTGTTGGACTCTCTCACAAGAAGCTGCTACTCACACCCCTGAAGTCTTTATTTTGTGTGCTTTCATGTTGACATGCACAGCATGAGCTCCTGCTTGTAAGGCTGGATGTATACTTCTGTTTTTGACATTACATACGTGAAATAATGTCCACAACATGTGACACATCAATGGGAGCAATTTGTAACTAGACACCAGTGTCTTCATCTTGACTATATAAAGGCAGGATTTTGTGCTTTGTTATAATAAAACTGCTTCTGGTTTACTTTCAGTTAAATTTGTAGTTGAACAGTCAAAAAAAAAAAAAAAATTAAAACAACTGTCACAAACATATATAGTGAATAAATTAATGATCAATTTTATATATTTTTCTACCTTTCCACATGTTTATATTAGAAACAACCTGGAATAAAAGGCTTTTAAATGACTGATAAAGCAATTTAAAGAAGTTTCAGTATGTAAACATCAATGATGCAGAATTACAGCTGAGAAGAATAGATTCCATGTAAATTAATTTAAATTCAGCTCATTTATATAGCACCAATTCATAACTCATGTCATCTCAGGTCACTGTATAAAAACAATCATTACATTATAAAATGCCAAGTAGTAAAAATGATTTGTCCAAGGAAGCCAGCAGATTGTGTTGAACCTTAAATTTGTTGCAATCTCCCATCCTGAGTGGCACACAGGCGACAGTGGAAAGGAAAAACTCCCTTTAACAGGAAGAAACCTGCTAGGCTCAAGATGGCAGCCATCTACTTCGACTGGTTGGGGTTAGAGAGGACAGAAAATAAATCCAGAAAAACACATAATGACTGATCCAGGTGTAAGTGGTTCAGACTGTCCTGATGCTGCTCAATAATCCAGGTAGATAAATCTAAAAAGGTTAAGTCAGGTCCTCTGAAACAAACTCAGTCTTATGAATAGCACCTTCTCATAGTGGATCAACCAGTTTGTTGTTGACATCCAGAACTAGCTGTTCACATGATAAAAGAGGACCATCAGCCTAACTGATTGTTAGCGTTTAAAATAAATTTAAACTCAATATCTGTAAAATTGACCATTATAAACTTTTTTGTGTTTGCTCAAGTACATTTTCTGTGGCAGCCACCCTGATTACGTTTTCAAGAAGTCACCCTTGGATGTATTTTTCGAGGATTGAATTAAAACACGTCCAGTGGTTAATATGTTTATTTTGCCAACATGAGACAAACACAAACAATTTGATATGATTGCCCACTTTTCATGGCAGTAGCTAATATTTATGGGGTTTAATGTAAAGTGACTGAATGGGAATATTGTGAGGATTTGAGAATATATATATATATATATATATATATATATATATAATTATTTTTTTTATTTATTTATTTTTTCTTCCGGCTGCTCCCGGTGTTAGGGGTCGCCACAGCAAACTAAGTCGCGCGAAGACTTGGCAGTTATTTTTACGCTGGATGTCCTTCCTGACGCAACCACAGACCACCGAGCTACCACAGCCCTCTGTGTGGAGCAGAGAGCTGCTATCTAGGACACCCGGAGGAGCAGATGGTGGGGGGTTAAGGACCTTGCTCAAGGGCCCAGAGTGGGGCGAATGAGAATGGGGGCAGGTGTGGGTGTTTCACCTTTCCCACCCACATTTTGATGTTGTCGGTCCGGGAAGTTGAACCGGCGACCTTCACATCACAGGTCCACCTTCTCTGTAGGTGGCTGTATCTGAGTGCTTAGAGCCGTCGTCCTCTAATGCAAGATTTGGGGGTTCAATTCCACCAGCAGTCACATGCCGAAGTGTCCCTGGGGAAGACACTGAACTCCTCATTGCCTCTGATGTGTGTCCCATCAGTGTATGGATGTGATAAAGCTCTGATCATTCTTTGTATAAATATAGTAGAGTGCTGTATGAATGGGTAAATGAGGACACAGAACGTGTTGTAAAACGCTTTGAGTCTCATCATAAGATAGAAAGGCGCTGTATAAGTTCAGTTTATTTACCATTCTCTAACGTCTGTGCCATTTGCTTATGTTAAATGTATTTCTTTAAAATAAAAGGCAGGTAAAGATGATGGATGGATGGATTCTTATAAATCATAATATCGATTTTAAAAGCAACTATTGCTTTTAATTTAATAATGCCACCTTCTTCTGCCCTAGAACTCCCAGATCTTTCAAGGTTCACTCTAAAACTACTCTACCCAGAAAGCATTGCGACAGTATGAATAGCGGTGAAAGGGGCGGTCCCGCGGTGACGTGCAGGAGGTAAGAAGCGGATTGTTGCGTTCAGCTGTCAGAGATAACGCCGCTCTCACCTGGAGTTTCTCGGCCATGGACTTAACCGAGGCTGTGGAAATTATCCGGTGCTGACCCACTTCGCGTCGTCTCCCAGTCCCGGACTGCTTTTGAATTTGGACGCGTGCGTCTTTTTCAGCCAGGTAAAGTCGCCGTCTGTTTGTAGTGTTCCTAACAGTGTGTTTACTGATGAGAGCATCTCTGGCAGGAAGTAGCTGTCTTTGTTCGCTGCAGCGCGTGCGTTCAAACGAACCGAAACAAAAATGTTGTTGTTTACCTTTCACTGCCAGGAAGGCGACTGAAACTAACTCCTTCTACTGACCTTTATTTTGTCGGCAGCCAACTAAATCAAAAGTTTATCTGTATCTGAAGATTAGACTGAAAATAATAAACATGACCTTTTAGCTGCACACACATATCTAAAGTTACACTAATAATTTTAAACATATTTAATATTTTATGGTTTGCTGAAATTAAAATGTTGCACTTAAATATAGGTGAAAACTCATGGCAAAATTGTGTTTGTATAATGAAGACCTTGTATTTACAAAAAACAAAACAAAAAGGATAAATGTAACTTAACCTTTTTTAATGTGTGTGTGTGTTCTCAGACAATTAAAAACACAAATGACCCCAATGTCAAACACATCTGACTCCTCTTATCTAGTATTTAGCTTGAATGTCTTGCACAGAAAAGTCTTTTGTATTGCAGTTTTTGGATTTTTATTTTAAATATAAAGTTTAATTTATTATGTGCATATTAGTAAAGATGCAATAATAAACAAGCAGTACTTTTTAGTTATGTAGATCAGTGGCTTCTAAATTTTTTTTAGCTCGCCACCTGCAAAATGTTTGACGAAGGCTTGTAACCCAATAAACATGGACAGCACAATCAGCCTTATTATTCACAATATCATCAATATTAATTTACACCTACTGTTTATCTTCTTGCATATGGTGGTTAACATGCCATAAAATATTTTCAATATACGTTGACATCTGGAGATCAGTTAGGGACCCTTGGTGTTTTATGACCCACATTGGGGTACTGACCTCAACTTTGGGAACCACTGTGTTCAAACGAAAGGATTATAAAAAAAAAAAAAAGTATTAACTTAAAATTAGATCTCTGCAACTGAACACCAGCATTCAACACTAACAAAATCAATCTGGTCAAAGTAACTGTGGTTCAGGAGAGCTTCGGCTGTTTGCAACATTTCTTTAGCTAATGAATTAGCTGTTTTAAACTGACAGCGCATTACTTATCTGTTGACTGGTTCAATAGTTTGCACTTGAGTTAAGCTGTGATTATTTGATGTTTATAGCTCAACCCTCTGTTATGTATCATTTAAAGACTTCCCTTGTCTTTTTAAGGTGCCATCAGCGCTGAGGAACCATGTCGGACAAAATGTCTAGTTTCCTCCATATAGGAGACATTTGCTCCTTGTATGCAGAAGGTTCCACCAGTGGATTTATCAGCACTTTAGGGTAAGCCTGCGTTCATATGAGTTTTCTGAACCTTTCACTTCTTCTATGTAACTTTGGAGCGATGTAACTTCTGGATCATGTGCAGGGTACACAACTATGAATCAGTCCAAACTGATATAAATGCTGTCACCCAGTGATTTAATGGCTGCTCCTTGAGCCAAAGACCTGGATGTACAGGTAGTGTAGCAACAAGTATTTTGTAACGAGTGGTTTGTGTCTCTGACAGCTTCAGTCAACAGAAACATTTGCTCAGTGCCGTCTTTAATAAGAGTGCAGCCTTACACCGTGTGTAGCTGGGCTGTATTCAACTGCTTCATCAAAAGTACTAGCACAGTTATCATCTGAAATGTTTTGCTGTCTGTAATTTAGTTGCCTAGTTAAAAAAACAACAACAAATTGCTATGAAAAATTTAACTGAAACAATAAAAACAATAACAGGACATCTTTGAATATGAGCTTCTAGCAGTCCTGGTCACACAATCTGCCAAACTGATCGCTGTCAAATGTCTATTTTTAACATCCATCCATTATCTTTTACCCGCTTCTTCCATTTTGGGTCACGGGGGTCACCGGAGCCCATGTCCAGCAATCACTGTGTGAGGGGTGGGGTACACCCTGGACGGGTCTCCAGTCCATCACAGGGACACATAGAGACAAACAATCGTTCACTCTCTCATTCACACCTATGGACAATTTAGAGTTACCAATCAGTCTAACATGCATGTTTTTGGTCTGTGGGAGGAAACTGGAGTACCCGGAGAAAACCCACGCATGCACGGAGAGAACATGCAAACTCCACCCAGAAAGGCCCCCAGACCGGGATTTGAACCAGGGACCTGCTCACTGAGAGGCAACAGCTCTACCAGTTGCACCACCGTGCTGCCCTGTTTTGAACATTTAATTCTTATTTCTAATTGAAACATAGTGATTCTTGAAGGGATGCATACTGCCCGTCATCTTTCATGCCAGAGTTTAAGATCATAACGTAATGACGGCGTTCTAGGTGTTTTGGTCGAACCTTGAAATTATCATTATGCATAGTCTCATGCCGTGTCACGGGATTGCCTTTCTGAGAGTGTGTTGTGAACGACTCTCAGCTACTACCATACTATAAGGGGCCGACATGGTGTAGAGGTACGGCAGCTGACTTGGGACCAGAAAGTCACAGTTGGACTCTCCACCATGCCCACATGTTGTGGTCGTGAACAAGACACCTAATCCCTAATTGCTCCCTGGATGCTTGCATAGCTGCCCACTGCTCCACCTGGGTGCTTCCCATGTGTGATGGGTTAAATTGAAAGAATTTTTTTCTCTCCATCGACTACAGTAACATTAATTACATGAACGCTCCTACAAACACCTTTCAGTTGTTGGATGCTGTCTATCATGGTGCACTAAGATTCATAACTGGCTGTAACTACCGTACACATCACTGCACCCTGTATTCACTGGTTAACTGGTCATCATTAACTTCACGCAGACTCTCTCACTGGTTCATTTTCATCTTTAAATCACTTCTTGGTCTGCTGCCTTCATACATCTCCTCCTACATGTCTCTGTGTGAGTGCAGCTACAGTGTGCGCTCTCAGGACATTATTACCTGCAGTGTTTCCTCATTGTGGACTGAACTAGACAAAAGGGCCTTCTCCTACTCCGCTCCTGTTTCCTGGAATATCTTACAAAATGATCTGAAGCTCTCGACCTTGATCTCTCCAAGTGGCTTCAAACATCTGGAAAGTTCCTGATAAAAACCAATGCAGACATGTGCCTGTTTTTAGTTTTCTACATCACTTTACATTATAGCTGTTTTTTTTTTTATTTTTTTTTTTTGTTTCATTTTTTAATGTCATTTTCTTTCACTTGTTCTTCTCAATTTGTTTGTGTCCTTCTATGACTGTCTACTGTTTTCATCATGCTTTATTAAATAAATCAGGTCTCTCTTGTAGATGAGTCCCCGAGGTTCAATGGGATTAACCTGTATAATTGAAGGTTGAATGAAGTAATGCAGCAAACCAATTTAGAATTTTCACATAGCACATAGTATGTATTTATATATATATATATATATATATATATATATATATATATATATATATATATATATATATATATATATATTATATATGGAGAGAGATAGATAGATCTCATATCAAGCTTTATAAACTGAATGAGTTAAAGATATTTTAGTGTTTGCTAATATTAAATGGTGTCCTTCTTGAATAGGATTGACTCCAAAAGTTAGTCATTAATGTTTGTCAGTGACTAACTTGATTAAAATCTGTGTAGTAGTTCATGAGATATTTTGCCAACAGACAACCCAAGCTGACTAACAAAATAATGGCGACGTTTTAAACAAAGATCTTGCACATTCTGTTATCGCTCAGAATAAGTCTTTCGGAAGGCGAAGATGTTAGTGAGATGCAGAATTGTACAGTCGTTGTTCCTTTTCTCCCATTTTACCCTGAATTACCCTAATTTAGACGCCACGTCTTTAAGGAGTTGATGGCTCCCCTCCTCTTTAATTGTAGGCAATAAGTTAAGAGTGCATCTCATTTAGTGAAATTAGAACGGACTGTGTCACGTTACTGACAGTCACAGAAACAGCAGAAAGAAAGGAGCCCGGTGTGACTGCTGATGGTCCGGTCCAGCAGCACATGCGACGTCATCGATCTGTGTTTACATGTTTTTCCTCCTCTGGTTGCTGTCTCTTACCATCGCCTAAACCTTTCTTGTAGTGAAAATGAGCTGAACGCTCATATTATTGTGTCCTCTCCCACCTTCTCAGTCGCGGCGATCTTCCTCCTCTTGCCGTGGAACAGTTTGATCTGCCACTCAGCAGCTGCTGCCACTTTGGAAAAGCCGTGCGCTCTCACAGTTCAGTGTTTTGCGTCACTTTCCATAGCAACAGATGCATGAGCAGCTTTGATGACTGCCAACATGACAGTGCTCATTTGTCATATTTCTTGTCCTGTGTTATGCCTAATCACCCTCCACCCCCCACTGCACACACTTGACTTACCACTGCTGTGTGTGATTTTGTTTGAAAACAGAATCATAGAAGACAAACCTAAATATAGTGTCGAATTAGATGTTGCTAATGTTGTCAGGATTCTGAATGTCATCCCTGAGGGGCAGCTGCATCCACCTGGCCAGCTGCTGGAAAGGCTGCATCACAAAAACCAAAACAGAGTTTTCTCTTGACCTTTGTTAGCACTGACTTTTGAAGCACCCGTTTCATTTGGGATGTTGGCCCACGAGCACAATCAAAGAAACGTCTCTATCTCTCCTGGAATGAAATTATTTTCATCATTGTTGTGCTCCGGTAGTGCAGTTTATAAGCTGTAGAAAGCTGCAACCAGAGAAGATGGAGCAATCAACAGATGTGCTAATTATAATGTAGTAGTATTCCCAGGGGCTTCCCTAAAATTCCTTGACCTTGCATTGTTAGTGACATAAAACATGGTATTTATAAAGCCCTAAACATTTTTGTTTAAACAATTGGCTAAACAGAGAGTGGGGATGAGACAGGAGACAGTTGCAAATGATGTAATTTAAATCCTGAGAATTATTTATTTTCCTGCTTTTTGTTAGTTTACTTTAGTTTTGTGTAGGTGGGGTGGGGGTAGGGATGGAGTTGAAGATGTAAAATTAATCCAAGATTTTTTGGTTCCTTCAGTGTTGAGCTTTGATTCTTCCTTCATGAGTTCGGGCAGAACCTTTTCTAGCAGGTATGCATCAACTTTGTGATTGGTCAGAATGTTGCTGTGGGCTCGTTTATGTGGCAAAGCCTGTGAACTACACTGATCTCATTTCAGTTCAAGTGCTCAGCTGAGGAGCAGCTTACCGAGGCTGTTAGCATATAGCTATCCTGCATAGAAAGTTAAACAAATTATATCCATCCATCCATTATCTTTACTCGCTTATTCCATTTTGGGTCACGTGGGTCGCTGGTGCCCATGTCCAGCAATCACTGTGCGAGGGGCGGGGTACACCCTGGACAGGTCGCAAGTCCATCACAGGGACACATAGAGACAAACGAGACAAACAACCATTCACTCTCTCATTCACACCTAGGGACAATTTAGAGTTACCAATCAGCCTAACATGCATGTTTTTGGTCTGTGGGAGGAAACCGGAGCACCCGGAGAAAACCCACGCATGCACGGAGAGAACATGCAAACTCCACCCAGAAAGGCCCCTGGACCGGGATTTGAACCAAGGACCTGCTCACTGAGAGGCAGCAGCTCTACCAGTTGCGCCACCGTGCTGCCCCTTATCAAATTATAGTCAAATACATTTTATAAAGATAGTCATAGACCTCGTGGAAGGAGGTAGCACAATTTCTGTGCGGAGAAGAGACCATACAGGGACACAGTGGCACAGTGGCTGTGCTGGCTGGATGGGAGTTCACCTCAAGTGGACAGTGTAGAGAAACAGTTTCTCTATGTCCATTCATTATTGTGCACCGTCTGTCGGAAATGGTGATGGTCTTTTAGTTACACATTTGCAAATGCCTACCAGCATTTACTGTCTCAGTCTGTATGATAAAAATGTCTGGTTGCTGTGTAGGAAGTAGAAATGTGTACAGGGATGGTAGGGGACTCAGGAGAAAGGGACTTTTCATGAGTTCTGCATTGCAGTTTCTTGTTGCAAATAGGCCTATCACAATAACAAATTTTGCTGTGCAATTAATTGTCTCAGAAATTATTGTGCTTAATGATAATATTGTTTGAAATTGGGCAATAATTATTAATAATAATTAATAATTAATAATAATAATTATTATTAATTAATTAATAATAATTAAGTCAAATTTAAGAAGAAATGTTGGTTAATTTGTTTTGAGGGTAGTACCTGTTTTGACCACCGGATGGCGGAATAAGACTGATTGAACCAAAGGATGAATAGTGAGGGAGCGAGCAGCGTGTCTCTTTAAGAAAATGAGAGGGAGGCCTCTTGACATGACACGGGCTGTCTCTTTCCTTTTTTTGGTTCCCAAA